GTATTTCAGTCATATAGGCGGGTAGTTTCCTAACCATCGTTCCTGGAGAGTTACACCAGTACTAGACTACCTTCCTCCGTGCTAAACTACCAAAGCATCTCCCGGGGATCGAACCCTCACCAGAGAGGTAATTGGATTAAAAGTCATCGACTCTAACCCCTCGACCACGGAGGCGGTTTATTGAGTCATCATATTTATTGATCATCCTGGAGCCTAAGTCATGGCATTGAATGAAACAGTGTATATACTTGGCCAAATTATTTGTGTTATTCCGAATGTTTCTTTACCAAATAGTTTCTTTGCATCTTTTTGTGCAACATGTTTCATCGCTTTCTCTTAAAAGAATTATTATTCCATAAGCCTTTAATTTAAGAAATCCCTTATGTTCAATTTATAACTGGTTTTATGATCCAATTTGCTAAAGTACTTTTCTTCAGCATTTACCAACTGCCATAAAAATCTTGGTCCCACGTTCGACAAGGGCTTAGCAGAAACTTGCCCGCACATCTGATTTACACACATATATCGGCGATCGTCTGCTGCAAGTTTAATCACGTAAGATGGTGTACCGTTTGGTGAGTCCGATTGTATTTTCTGAATACACCAACGCCCGGCATTAGACAAATTTGACCCTGTAGAAATTTCAAGACTCAAACCTTTGTCTGAAATGTGACAAGGTATGTTGCCTTCACACGGCAAAATTGAAAAAACGTTATCCATCCCACCTTGTAATTGAAACAATGTGCCCTGCTCGTCAGGGTTGTTTTCACATCGAAGACGCTCATTGCCGCCGAAATGCGACTTGCGGACACATAGGCATCGGTCATTGAAGTACATAGACCTAATCTGAACATACGCTCCACTTAGTTCGCTAAGAACCTCCGGATGTAACCCTCGCCTATCTAAGAACGATCTGATGACTGGCCAATCTGAACCACGATATTTACAGAAGAAAATACCTGTTGATTCCGTTGGCATGTAAAGAAATTTTAAAACTGTTTCGTCATGTTTTCGTTGAGAATCGCATACATGTTTCACAGCTTGAGCGTCTACTTTAAATGTACTTTGGATGGCGAACCGGTACAGAAGAAATAATTCCCGGAAAGTTGCCAAGCAACAGTAAAGTTGTACTTTCTCCATTAGTAGGTGGAAGTTGTTTCCCTCCGAGTTCTTCAACATGTCCGTGATTTTAACTCCTAGTGTAAGAAGTTCATCTAACCCAGTGTGAACGGGCACATCGCTCGCCATCAATTGCAGATGAAGCTTCTTAGTGTTGTCATCCAACTCGTCTGGTTTTGGCAAACCCTGCATGTAGGTTATGCACTGAGAGACCTTTGAGCTTGTTGCTCGGCACCGAGCCTTGAAATCTTCTTCTATCGCGTTAGATCTAGAAAATATTTGTAGGACCATGGATGCCACATCTGATATGAAGACGCTAGTTGACAAAGGTCAATGACATTCAGTGTAATATCGGCAAACTTTATCAAAACTACAACAATCTCGTCACAATTGAAATTTCCATGAACAGATGAGACATGTTTTGATGAAACCTGGTCCACATTAATATCTAAAACAGCCTTGGCACATTCTTTCAACTCGTGTCTTTTTCTTTCCGAAATTTCAAGTTTATCCAAGTCATGTATAATCCTATAAAGATTTCGCGGAGGATCTTTTTGAACAGAAAGTGCCATAGTCCAAATATGTTTGCTAACTTACATAAAAACTTCAAGTTTATTGATAAAGTTGACAATAACTTGTTTCCTTATATGCGCGCCGATAGTGAAACTTAACTTTGTGGTTAATGTGAGTTGTTTAAATGAATTCATACTACATGACTGTACACATATTTCAAAATAAAATCCAAACTATTTTTGTCTGCATCGGAATACATGTACGTACTTTCTTCTAAACGAAAAATCGACTTATTGACTGCACGAATAAAATCTGACAGAATGAATGAATTAATGAATGAATAAATGAATGAATGAATGAATGAATGAATGAATGAAAAAAGAAAAGATCGTACGAATGAACAGGAAATAAACGGTCGGACGGACAAAAAAACGGGGACAGGACGAAGCAGGTATTGCGACACAATTAGGTTACAAAGTAAATAACATGTAAATCAATTTTTTTTTTGAAAATAACATTTTATTTAATTTTGATTTCATCCAAGTAATGGTACCTTAAAGATCATGATAATGAAGAGTAAGTCTTAGATTCTTTTTGTCAATTTTAAGAGATGTCCATAGCAAATTAAAACACTCATAAAACGCTAAAAACTGGTCAGACTGCACGGATGGGCAAGTTGGACTAAAACCCACGTTTATATTGGGGTAATGGCCCACAAAAATCAACAAGACGTAAAAACTTTTTTTAAAATGATAAATAGAAAGCAGAAATAAGGACAATAATTAACAAAAAAAATTTCATTTATAAATACGCGGAACTTATATTGCGGTTAAAAGTGGGAGTATCCTTAGGCAATGAAACAATGTCTTTCAACGTTCATATACTTAGGGGAACAACATTTGTTACCATCCTCAAATTAAGGAAACACTTTTAAATGCTTAAACACGTCACGTTTTTTCGCTCTTAAATTTAAAGGAAAAATCTATTATGCATGGAAAATATGACTTAAGTAGGTCGCTTAGTCATGATTATTTTTAATCGATTTCTCAGCACTTAATTTCCTCAATTAGTCACAAAAAGATGTTTAATAGTTGTGTTCAAAATGTGATACCAGATAACTCCTTTTCCGTTTTGTTGACTGTCCAATATCGCCCAGTGTTATTTCTTTAATATACATTATATCGCATTTATGATCTATACATAGAAACGAAGTTTAGGAGGGGGGGGGGTATCGGTCGGCCGGTCGGTCTGTCAACTTAATGGTTTCCAGACGATAACTAGAGTTTGGAGTGAGCTTTTGTAAATAGCAATCTTATGTGGAAACCCCGGTTGGTATAAGCAGTCGGACCCCCTGGGGTCAAGGACAAGGTCACCATTACTAAAAATAAAAATAATGGTTTCCGGACAATAATTGGATTAAGGAATAAGATATTGTAATTTAACTTGGTATATAGCAAGCTTATTTGAATACCACTGCTATGTATTGCTTTTGAACTCCCGGGGTGAAGGTCAACATCACCGTTACTAAGAAGGGAAAAAAGTTTTCGAGCTAGAGTTAGGAATGAGATATTGTACTCAAACTTGGTAATCAGCAAGCTTACTTGAAGACCCCGGTTGGTATTGTTTTTGACCTTCTGGGGCCAACGTCACTGTTACTTAAAATAAGAACATGGTTTTGGGACAATAAAAAGAGTTAAGAATGTGATATTGTAATCAAATTTGGTATATAACAAGCTTATGTGGAGACCTTGCTTGGGATTGCTTTTGGACCTCCTTAGGTCAAGGTCAATGTCACTGTTTCTAAAAAATAGAAAAATGGTTTCTGGACGATAACCACTTAGGAATGAGCATGAGCAATTGTAATGAAAAGAAAAGCAGAAAAAATTGTTTCTGAGAGACAGAAAATAAATTGTACTTTTTGTTCTTTTTTTTACACTATATTGTTTTTAAAAAGTTAAGAGATAGCTCTAGTTACCTCTGGAAACACTGATTTACTTTACTTTTCTTCTGTTCCATCGGAACGTCTGGAAGCTTGATGTATTAATACCCCCCTCCCCGTAACTGAAGGGGAAGGGGACAATCTGGGAGTGCCAAAGATTTACTTTTTTGTCCGATTGCAATACTATAACACCTTCATTGGCCTGAAGCTTTGATAAGGGAAAGAAAGTCCCTCAAAATACATATCATGCTTCTGGAAGCGGTGAAGGGCAATATATTTCTAGCGCTTTTATAAACCACTTTATTGGTTGTGTCGCCCAACTCCGCAAGTTCAGCTTCAACTTATCGCCCCATACCGTTTTGAGTCCAAACTCGATAGGCACTTAGGATTTCTTCGAGTGAGGAAGCTGTCCAAAGCTACAAGAAGTTGGATGTTTCTTCTCAGAGGCCTGCTCGCGCCGGGAATAATGTACAAATGTGCATATGAATTATGAAGTATTCCTCCCCATCCCACCCCAATATATGCTAATGACTTTATACAAAAAACAAACAATTTTATTGAAGTTTTTTTTTTAATTTAAACAACTTATACTTTTTTTTAAAGTTTAAGTTTATTTCAATATTCCATTGCACCAAATGGTCCATGAAGATAAATAGATACATGATACATGACAAGACAGTGTAAAGCATATACATAACATGTGTAAGTGGAAATGGTATTCACAAAAGTGTATATCATCAATTAAAACATCAGAACAAAAAGGACATTCAAAATAAATATAAAACTGAAATATATCAAAAAAGATAATACAGAAATATGCTTAAAATTAAACTGAAAATCGATGTTTTGTGTGACTTTATTTTAAAGCGTTTAAATGTTTTTATATTTTTGGGTCATTTTGAACAATTAAAATGGTCTGAAGTTTTGAACAAAAGTTATTGTTACAAACCTTCATCGAACTCTACAAAAATTGAAAACAAAACTAAACAAATACCAGTCCCACGAAGTAGAAAATCTCAGTAATGTCCCTTTAATTAATGTGCGAACTGAAATAAATGAGGGCAGTGATACATCTTATATTTGTTTCAATTTGAAGATTCTTGTAATAAATATATAACGCTTTGCACACAGAATCCATACTAAAATATATTTAAAATATCACTATCAGACATAAATTCTACCAATATTTATGTCTTATAATGACATATACATTATGTAATATCATCTTTAAGTTATTACAATAAAATGTAAATCGTTTAAACAGTTGAATCAAATGAACGCTGGAACGTATTATACTAATATAAATGAATAAAATAAATTTCACCCACCCGTATAATCGAAGAAATATATATATACATTTATAGAGTTATAACAATTTGTAAACACGTTTATCGTGTGTATCGAATCGTCGCCGTGACCTAAACATATAAACTCCATGTCATCGAGGTAAAAATCTGGTACAGTAAACGCTCTTATCTTAACTTAACACGAAGACCGAATAACATGAATTGACACATTTAAATATATTATATAAATGTACATGCACACGAGTTATAAACTAAGCACATTGCAAGTGCCGTTTTAATAATTATTCAGGAAGATCAACTTTAAACTTAGAATGACAGAAGCTTTGGATTTAACCAAGGATTATACTAAAGAAGACCAGGATAGTGACAAATCTACAACCCGGAAGCAGCAGAGAAAGAAAGCACCAAGGACCGGTTCAGCACCATACGCCACCGTACCACTTCCGCCTTGTAAGATATGCGGAGGAAACTCGACCGGATATCATTTCGGGGCGATCACGTGCGAAGCTTGTAAGGTATAATGTGACACTTTGATACTACATATCTACATGTATTATTAAACCATTTTACATTTTGTTTGTTTTAAGAGTTATATGATATAGAAAGTATAAATAGAAATGAAGCGCCGATGGGAATTCAATATCTTACTGTTTAAATATAAACTTATTTGTTATGCTACTATGTATAATTGTAAAAATTTGACCAATTAGATAAAAATAATTTTCGAGAGCCTCTTGATTTAAATTATGTCCAGAGCACGAAATTCTCGTGTTTATCTAACAAAACGCCCATTATCACGGGACTATTTGTTTAATTATGATCCCCGTAGATTAAAATAGGCATATTGCATATTTTATTTTTATGTTTCCCGAAGGGTGAGTATATAGTCGCCGCTTTGTCCGTCCGTCCGTCCGCTTTTCTTGTCCGGGACATAACTCTGTAACAACTAGATGTATCAACATGAAACTTTTTAGGTTGGGTTGATGTGCAATGCACAAGAAACGTAACTCTGCCTTGGCTAATTTTGGAGTACTTGCCCTTTGTTCATTTTACACTTTGAACTTTGTCCGGGACATTACTTTGACACTATAAGAGATATCAACATGAAACTTTCTGTAGGTAGATAGACATCATTGAGTAGATGTGCAGTGATCAAAAAACCGTAAATCTGCCTTGCCTTATTTTAAAGTTAAAGCCCTTTGTTCAATTTTTTTATACTTTGAACTTTGCCCGGGACACAACTCTAGAACTATAAGAGATATCAGCATGAAACTGTGTAGGTAGATAGATAGTATTTGATAGAAGGGCAGTGTAAAAGAACAATAACACCCTGTCTTGCCTAATTTTGGAGTTATTGCCCTTCGTCCATCTGCACACTTACTAGAACATTGTCCAGTACATAGTTATGACGACATAAGAGATATCAACATGAAACTTTGTAGATAGATAGATCTCATTTCTCATTGGGTAGATGTGCAGTGAACAAAAAATGTAACTCTTCCTTGCCTAATTTTAGAGCTATTGCCCTTTGTTCATTTGTATACTTTGTCCGGGACATAACTCTGACATATAAGAGATGTGAAAAAGAAAATTTGTACGTAGATAGATATCATTGGGAAGATGAGCAGTGCAAAGAACAGTAACTCTGTTTTGCCTAAGATATTAATGATTGCACTTTGAATATTGTCCGGGGCACTTTGAATATTGTCCGGGACATAACTCTGAAACTACAAGAGGTATTCTGTTCTGTGTCCAAAACCTATTCGAGGAGCATCACCCGGTTCAACCGGTTCTTGTCTTCCATTCTTTTTTTTTTTAAATATTTCATTTTCTGTACGAAATCTGCTGTGGTCATAGTATTATTGTTACAATAGGTTTATCTCTTAGATTTGGTTTGCTAAATTGCTTATCATGGTCATGCAACTACATAGTTAGGTGAAGAAGCAGGCGCTTGTTTTGGTTAAGTCTATTATGTTTTGTTTAGGGGGTTGAGTTGTCATACACAAATTTACAATTTATATGCATTTATTTTTTTCCAATGATTGTTATTATCTTAAATGCTTCTGGGATTGTTGTTTTATCAATTCATTTGTAAATAAGATTGTTATATGTCTGTTAACGGAATAATTTTAATGAACACGAAATTAGTTCACACCTACATGCGTATTGGTAACGTGATGGTTTAAGCCAATGAAAACACGTCAATATTATTATACTCAGGCAGAGAAAAAGTGTGCAAAGAGTAAATCGATAATCTTTATGTAGCCAGCAAATTTTGAATTGCAAGTATTTTTTCATATCTTTTCGGCAGGATAAACTGTCCGAGGATTCGTATCGTAAAATGGCTGCCATTTACAGTATCAAGTGATTATCCCAAGCACCACCGCGACTTAGCGCGGGAATTTTAATTATAGCTAACCTCGGCGCGTTTACATTTTTCATATTTTATTGTAATAAATATTTACAAACTGTGTCTTTCGGGGTTTTTTTATCAATATATAACCAATAATGATGTTATGAATAAATAATCATATCTCAAATCTTTGACTATAATTTACAATGAAATTCTACCTTTAGTGTATTAAAAAGGTTTTTAATTTCCTGTAATTTTATTTTGTGATTATGCTTCAAAGCAGTCAATTGACCGTGAATTTTCTTTTCATATTTTGATTTCCTTGAAATCATTTTTCTCATCTGAAGGCATGCAACTTTAATATGGTGATACATTAATTACATTCCATGAAAATGTTTAAAGATATAAAATATCTCATGACATGTTTGTTCATTTTACATTACACCTTTAATTCAGCAAACATAAAGTCTTCACAAAAAATAGTATGCAATCGTACCTATATTACATACGAATGTATGTAATATTTTTCTTGTTATAATTGTTAGAACTCATTCCAGTGAGTTACACGTCATTGAATGTTTAAGAGGGGGACACTATCTTATTATGGAAGGTGAAACCACGCGTGTTTGAACTATGTGTCATTTTACGAAATAAAAATATTGTTCAAGGATTCAATCTTTGTACGGGTTTCTCTCTTAAATGAGTGGGCTGTACGCGTTTATCCTATTAAATAGACAATTTAGGCATTTTTAGCATTCATTTTATGCATTTTAAATGTTTATTTTAGGCATTTTTTCGGCGAGCATTGATACATAAGCAAGAGTATAAATGCACAAAAAATAGCGACTGTGAAATAGTAGTAAAGAGGACAGGAAACTGTTCAGCTTGCCGGCTGAAGAAATGCTACGATATTGGAATGTCGGAAGGAGGTATGCTTAGACAATATCGTTGTTGACTTTCAATAATATTGTGTTTTCGTTAATGTTGGCGTTCCATAGTTTAGTTAATGTCATTTATGGTAGCGCTAATCTGGTGTCCAATTATTATACATGTCCCACGTGATATCACTTAGGCAAGATATCTTATGTAATAACAATTTGCCTTTTTTGTATGTTTATATAAATTTCATGTAAAATAAGCTCATTCAAGGAATTTGCACAAAAGAATATCTTTTGCCTTATAATATGTCGGTTTGAAATGCAAGATTTTAAGAATCCGTTTTCGTTATTCATCTTAGTTTAAATGTTTTTTATAGGGTAAATAGTTGTTTTGTCAACTAACCTTCTGAATACGAGTGGTTAAAAAAATCATTGGAGCGTCTTATATCTTATAATATAGATATACTAAACTTTAAATACGAAATGTCAAATATTAGAACATAATGTAGAAGAGGACCGTTTACTATCTTTTTTCAAAACATTAAGAAACGATTTATACTATTTAGCAATTCGGTTTTAAAAGTAAACCATACTATATCTCATTAGCCAGCCATAAAATTATCTTTGTTTCCCCTCCCGGAACAAATGACAATATTAATTTGGAAGGGTATATAGGTAGATATAAAAAAATCCAAAATACTTTCTAAAATTCTTTTTCTATCTAAAATTACAGGGATTTTAAAACAACTTGTGAATGTTAAGCATCTGTATAAAGTTAGAATCAAAGTTTGAAAGTTTCAGTTCACATATATCCCATTTTGTATTATTACATTTAAAATATGAGACAGACATAAACATTTGATATTCATTGATAGACTGTCACTCGTCTTTTTTAAATAAAATTTTCTTTTGTTTGAATTTTTTTTTAGTTTTGGTATCTGTGATTTTGTAGGTATGTAGCGGGAAGGGAAACAAACACTATTTTATTCTGGGCCTTAAATTACAAAATTGCGCATAGTGATCCCCCACGTTTGATTTTTTTTTCTCATATATATATATCATTGAGGGTGATACAACCTATCGGTGCTGTAGATAAGTATTCATCAATGAACAAGTAAGTGCATGAGGGCTTCTGTGGACAAATTGTTAAAATAACATGTTCCACAATGCTATGAGTGGAAATCCTGCTATGGGCTTTGCATTCTCATTTGTGGAATATATCCAGCTAGCGTACGGGAGGAAGGTGGTTCCATACTCTTGAATACTCTTCTCTGAACGAAAGCTGGAAAGTTAATTGTATGAGAGCGACAAAAACTTGTCAAAAGTACTAAACACTTAAAAAATACAGGTCTTTTTTTCTTTTGTCAGAAAGTGTTGATGTTAGTTCCATAGTGACAGAAAAGCGGTTGGTGTCATTTTCATCAGAGACTTGCTTTGACTTAAACAATTGTTTTACTTTTAAGGTGTACGCAAAGGCAGGTATTCTATAGCAATAAGAACGAGGGCAATCGTTGAGGCTAAAGCCTCGGAGGGAAAAAGTCCAGTAGCCATAGCGTCAAGTGATGAAACACATGAGAGGTCTGACACTAGTTCGCCATCGTCATCTGTGTCATCACCACCTTCAACGATTAGTCTTCTAAGAAGAGAAGGTAGCACACCGTATTCACTACATTTAGCCTATTTTGCTTTCTAAAAAAGCACAAACGCAACAATACAGTTTCAATTTAATCTCGAATTATGTCTTTACATATTGCAATATTCTCTTTTTTTTATTTTTTTACTTCTTACTCGTATTGTTTGATTTCGAGTGAGACTAAACAAAGGATTGGAGCACCACACTAAACACCGTATTTCTGTATATACCGGACAAGGCGCTTGAATGATCAAATGCTAAAATCCAACGTGTTGAACTTTAAAAGATCTAATTCATCTTTTCACACCGATTTATATATGATAATGAATGAAAAATTTAAGAATCGGCGAAAACATTGATATTTGTATATTAATTGATCATGATTTCTGCAAGCGGCTCTATGGTCTGCTCCAGTCCTGTATTGACTTAAATCCTTTTATTTCAGCTTCAGACAACCTCAGGTCTCAAGCGTCTAACAACCAATCGCCTGCCGGCTCACCTGACCTAGATTTTAGACGTAACATTGAACTCGAGCTCTTGATTGACGCCCTTGTGGGATGCCAGGATGCTGTCTACCCCAACCTTGCACAACAATTTGAGAGAGGTAACATCTTGCAAGCACAGCGCCAGATATTTGTAAGTGATTTAACAATCCTAAAAAATCAAATTTCAATATTTTCTTTCAAAACTTGGTCTTAAAGCTTCACACCACTAGATGTGGTAACAAAATGAAAAATTGACAAACTTTGGAAAGATATATTAAGAATTTAAGAAATGTATGAATGTTTACGATTCATGTAAAATGGGACGTTGTTGAATCAATTTGAAGAAATTCATTAACTTAATGGTTAAATGGTAATGAGAAAGTATAACACCCTTGATTGTCTAGAGGTCCTTGGCATGATATAATATAGCTATAGATCTACTATATGAAGTATTGTAAAAAAAGCCAGAACAATTGTTTCAAGATTGATATACATGTATATATATATAATAGCCAAATTAAGTAACTCTTATTATGGAAGCCGCTAACCCGCCCGAGTTAAAGGCATATTATCTTCCTTAGAAAGGGCAAACAGGGGTTTAATTATTGTTTAACAAATGGTTTTGAGCATGTTACATGCTACTTGCACCGAATGTGAAAAAAATTGTCAGAACAGCAGAATAAGTTAACAAAGTAGTATTTTAACTTCCATACAAATTACTAAATCACTGTAATAATTGCCAAAATGCAACAAAAGCATCAGATGGTTAAGGTAAATGGGCCAATAAATACTTTTTGAAACTATAAACAGGACACTAGGAATAAAAAGCTTTTGAGAAAAAAAACCTAAAAACATTTCTGGGAGTCTATTTGAACTTTAAGACTGTCCAGTTGAACAAGTCATATAATAACTAGCAATTCGGGATCCGTACGCTTACTTTGTTAATTAATTTAGACATCTGATGTAGACAATATAAAACACTTCCACTGTACATTAATGATATAAAATTTACTCTAAAAGAGTGCTTAGAAGATTTTGAGGAAAATGTAATTGTTAAATATCGGTGTATTGTACACAGTATAATTTAAATAATACTAACAGAGACTTATTAATCTATTAACTGTCCTGTCTTTAATAGGAAGCCAATAAAAGTAAAGAGGAAGTGTTCGGCAAGCTGTTCGGGATCGCTAATGACGTCACGAGGGAGGAATATCAGCAAATATTTGCCGAGACTGGTATAGATTTAGACGACAGACTGTCCCATTTTAATGCTAAAGGCAAATCAATGGAAGACGAGATATCGCAATATGTCAACTTTACAAAAATAATACCTGGATTTAAAAGCTTGCATCCAAAAGATGTGTCCAACTTATTAAAAGGTATACTTCAGTCAGTTTAAGAACATTTTGGCACTACTGTTCTTCGACTCATTTTCTTGTATATTGGTTAAATAAAGTCACCCGAAATATTTTTGTCATTTCAATAAGGGGTGACTTGTGTGGCCTCCACACGGCATAAACAACGCTGATGTGGCAATAAAATAGAGAATAACAGAATCCATAAAGAACGCCCAAAACTTCAAAATTGGTAATGTTACAGGCTCGGTTTGATTGAGCCTGTTCATGATGGTAGTGGTTATTTAAGCTACCATATATGCCCACTAGCTCCGGTTAAAGCAGAAAACTGTTTTCAACATTTAAAATAAATGATGCAATTTTGGCCGTAGATGTGTCAATACGAAGTAATACATATATGGAATTTACAACGTCCAGAGTATGGTAACGGTGTGAAAGATCAGCTCTCACTAGTATTTTTTTTAATCCTTCCTCCATCATGTTTACTTTATCAAAAATCAAAGTTTAGTAAACATAGCTTTATCACTGAATATTTTAATATTTCTTCTAGCATGTCACTGCGAGTTCTGGTTGTTTGGCAACTATTCACTGTTCAATAAAGATCTAGGAACGGCCATAAGTATGCAGGGGACATATAAATCAACGAGGAAAGTAATGGAAAAGTTTTTGTCGCCAGAATGGGTTCAATCGGTATTCAAAATAGCTGACATGATACAGCAGTTAGAGTTATCCTTAGAGGAGATCGTGTTAATCAGAGTTATCCTTCTTACATATACAGGTACCGTAATGTTATACACACTGCCAATTACTGTTCCACTCTTAATATACCAGTTTTCTATAAAATTGAAGTTACATTTATCAAAGCACTGAAAGTTCTGGAAAAAGAAATATGGAAAGGGGGAATGTGTTCATCAGAGTTACCTTTCTTACATACACAAATATTGTTATAATTATTGTTGTTAGAGAGTATTAATTCATTCATTCATGCATTCGTTCGTCCGTTCGATCGTTCATTCATTCATTCATTCATTCATTCATTCATTCATTCATTATCTTTATCAGTATTGTATTTCACACTTCTTGCATAAAGTTAATTTTGGTTTGATCGGTATGAATTAAGAGGAATGACATATCTTTACATTTTTCGTGAGTGATATTTTCCAAATTTAAAACATTTTGTTATAAAATAAAGATTTGCTTCATATATGTTCACAAATAACCTCGAAAGACTACCTCATTTAATTAAGCGCGGGTGGTAATAGCCCAGCAATTTCGGCTGTATTCTTCTTTGTAAGTTCATTTTGAAATGCGATAATTGGCCCGAAATGGCCCGTATCGATTAAATTGGTCAAAATGTAATGTTATTTTTCACTCATTATAGTTCCTATTTTGGGCACCGAAGAATTATTGTTTTTGACGCATTTTATTTCTGTATTTTTCTTTATTTTCAGATCGTTGCAAATTAAAAGACAGAGAAAAGATTCAAATATTACAAGAGAAATTTCTGGATTGTTTAAATTATCAGTTGATGAAATCTCACAAAGACTACAATCGCTATGTTTATAAAATATTTGACATTTTACTAAGACTTCGAGATTTAACTGAGCTAAATTTTAAAGTTAATCAAAAGTTTTTACAGGAATGGGGATTTGCTATACACGAGTTTCCTTTGTGGAAAGAAATGCTGTCTTACGAAAATGATGTTTAGAACACATGTATTAAAGAGATGATTTTTAAAGTTTTGTTTAAGAAAAAAATTGTTGCTTACAGTTACTTTGAAGTTACCGACTTTTAGAGATGTAATAAATAAACTGCTTTTGCCATTTATTTTTGCCAAATGTTGTTAAGAGTGATATTATTGGAAATCATATTGAAATATTTTTCTATATTATGATATATATTATTATATTAAATATTTATAAAATGGTTCCTGAAGTAACTTGTCAGCTTTTTTTGCAATACTGAAAAAAATCAAATACACAAGCTTGTGTATCTTGTTTAAAATTTATCTTTTATTTTTACATGTACATTTTACTACGCATAATTAAAGTTCATGCTCAAGTGGTACTTGTTTAACGCATAAGAATATGTAAAAGTATATTATGTTTTAATGTCAAATAAAATGGAAATCTCTGATATTTGTTAAGATACATTGTAGGAAGCTTGAAAAGAAAACGGTCTTACTCCAACAATATGATTTGAAATGCCGCCATTTCTTTTAACCACGACGAGAATTGACGCTTTACCTCTAATAGATAAATAAGATATTTTGCTTAATAAAGTAACAATTTTACTACGTAATTTCACCCAAAAAGAAAACAAAAACAAATCCCCGATATCTTCCATTTAATTGTTCTCTTAACTATTATACAGTTATTATAGAAGTATCTTGATATTGCACATGTATTTGACTCGGGGGAGGGGGATCTCCAAGAATAGGATATAACCCAGTCCGAAACCCCTGTGGCACTCTTTGGGTTCAGTGCTAACGCTCTGGTTATTCCGCACTGTTCTTCAAATGCAATGGTTAATTTTCGTCAGATCTTTCCGCTGCAAAAGATACTGTTACTTTTACTAGATGATTGGCACTATTTGTTCCGACCGTTAGACTGTTAAAAGTGTTATTTAGTCTAGTCTGGAGTTCCTTCCCCTTATACTACGTTGTAGGGAACCGGACTACATTCAGTCTTGCTTTCAGTATGTTGTCGTCATTATTATAAATTGGAGCGAACTGTTGATAGCGTTTCTAAAATTTCAAAGACATGCCGCCTATGACATAACTATAAAATATCTCTACGACAATAAAATGTGAGAAGCCATGTTATGGACTAATAACAGACAAAATAAAAATTTAATAAAGAAAATTTTAAAAAATTAATTTTTCTAGAAAGGACTGGGAAAACAAATACTTGTTTTGACTTATTTCGCCAAATGTTCTTTTCAGGGATTCCCCTTGTGATAGTTTTAATCGCCTCTTGGGCAAGGGGTTTTGCCTTTTAAGGGTTGAGTTGGAAATTGTAGTCGAATTATTTGGAGTCTATGCATTTTCTTGGCCCCCGGCGGAAAGGGGGTTTTTCTTGTGTTGTTTTTAAAATTTTGTAAAAACAAAAGTTTAGCAAAAATATCCTTCCTTTTTTCCCAAAAACTGTGTTGGTGTGCCGTAGAACCAAATTAATAAACAAACAAACAATCGATTAAATCAAAAAATCTGTAAAAGGGGATAGCAACATCTCTCACGCCAATCAGCACAGTTATTCAATTTTCAGCACTAAATGTACCTGAATCGTTGATTAAAGGACCAAACAATTAAACACAACTGAAGTGGTGTACAGGGCAACATTTTGCTGTTGGACACCTGCTATTGAGAAGAATGTAAATCTGTAAGAGGGGAGATCTCTATGAAGCAACAAATAAAACTATATGAAAATTGCAGACACGGATTATATTATGAAGTATAGCTTCAACAGGCCCGGCAGCTTGTTTGCTTAATCCTTAAGAAATATACTTTTGGGGCGTCAATGGCCGAGTAATTAACTTTAAATAACTTTTCACAAACGTAGTGGACTCATGGAAATCCTTACAGGGACTTTTGTTTTTTCACGTGAAGAGCTATCCAGCTCCCTTGCGGAACATTGGTTGTTCAACTCAGGTGCCCGTTTTTGCCTTAATGGATATATTACGGAGAGACACCCGAGGTCTTCCTTGAAAGTCGTCAGTGTTGGTGTTGGTGCGACGTTAACACCCCTCCCCCACCCCCCCCCCCCAAAAAAAAAAAGGGGGGGGGGAGATTTATACTTTGAACGTGTGTGAACTTGATGTCATCATACAATAAAAGGAAGATGTTAAAATCGTGATGTGACAAGCCTCTCTGCACATGTACCCACCGTATAACTCTTGACGACGCATTTAAACTTTGTCTATTTATTTCGATGGCAAGGAATAATCGATAGACACGTAAACATTTTAGGCCCTGATGAATAAATATAACCAAAATACCGACACAGCAGTCACTGATATAAAACGATGAAAAAATATTTTACATTTTACATAGAAAATTACTTTCAATTTTACCGTGACTTTTGCATGTATATACGAAACACTAAACATAGTTTTAAAAAAAGGGGGAAACTTTTGAACGCTCTTATCTCTTCCCCAATAAAAAAAACTGAAATATTGAATAATGAATAAAAAAACAAATTTGAAATGCAAAAATAATCTTTTAAAGCCCCGGTTTTACTGTAGAAAATTTTTACCGGGCTTTTTCAAACGAAAAAAGTTTAAATTTTAAACTCATTTATAAAAAGGGTGAAAATGACTGAAGTTTTGGATTTAACCAAGGATTATACCAAGGAGAACCAAAACGTTGACAAATCTAAAACCCGGAAGCGGCGGAGAAAGACAGGACCAAAGACAGATTCAACACCGTACGCCACCGTCCCACTTCCGCCTTGCAAGGTATGCGGTGGAAACTCGACCGGATATCATTTCGGGGCGATCACTTGCGAAGCTTGTAAGGTATCTGCTTTTCCTTGATTATTGCAAATCTGAATCTTTAGCTCTTTATGTCATAACATTAATTCGATTTTCAAAGCCTTAACTATTGGGCACTATTAGGCATACTTCATCCACAAGTGTAAGTTTATGCTATAGGAAATGAACATTGATTGATTGATTGATTGCTTGATTGATTGATTGATTGATTGATTAATTGAATTGACATATGTATTAATTTCAGGCATTTTTCCGACGGGTATTAATACACAAACATGAATATAAGTGCATGAAGAATGACGACTGTAAAATTGTAATGAAGAGACTGGGTAACTGTTCAGCTTGCAGACTCAAGAAATGTTACGATATCGGAATGTCTAAAGGAGGTTGGTATGGAAATTACGCTTATGGTGTTCCATAATTAATATTTTTGTCTGTAAAGTTTGCGGTTTATTGCGTTAGTTATTTTAACATTGTTAAGCATTTACTCAGTAACATTTGCCCCGGGCCAAGAAGAGTGCCTTTCAGGTGATTGTGACTTGGTTCTGTTCAATCATGTTTTTCATATTGTCTTGTATGGCAATTTGAGTCTCGAAACATTTGGTTCAAAATCTAACAATGTCTTTTGGACGTTAATGGCAGAAAAGCTGAATTGTCACTAGTGTTATTTAGATATTTATTGGAACATCTGTGGTTCTACTTAGTAAATGGAAGCTCCCGTTCCGAAGAGCACATTAGATATGTTTACACAAGAGAATCTGGAAGCTATCGGATCAATATCGATGCCATATGTCTTGAAACCAAAGAAAAGGAACAACAAAACACACTATTCTTTACGTAGGCATTTGTGTTATTTCTCTGTCAATGAATTTTCAGCCAATCTAGTTAAAAAGAATATGTCATTTAGTCAACTGTAATTTACATTAACATATACACAATCAAAATAAATGTCAATTATTTGGACACAAACTAGAAGAAAGTTAAACTTCCTTATTTTTTTTACCAACGGTGTATACCTAACTCAGCTTTTGTTCATGAAAGTTTGGAAACTACATCAACTTTGTTAAAGAAAGCTCTGCCAGATTGTATTTGATTTAGAATATCACATTTAGAGTGATCAAATACTTCTTTTTATTTATCAGGTGTACGTAAAGGAAGATATTCCATAGCAATAAGAACGAGAGCAATTGTCGAAGCTAAAGCTTTGGAGGGAAAAAATCCACCAGCAATAACACCAAGTAAAGAAGCATGTGAGATGTCCGCCGTAGGTAATTCGTCTAAGTCGTCAATAGAATCAGCCTTATCATCGTCAACAGAAAGTCTTCTACGGAACACAGGTTTACATCATATTGTAAAGCATGCTGATAACTTGAAACTCCTTTTATAATCTAAAACGAATATTTTTTCTTAACACAAAGAACCAAAAATTTTTGATTGGGGGATTTACATGTACATCGCACCATCACTGTAAAGGCCATGTGTCGACTTTCCAGCTTTACTGGCGGGGGAAGACAACAGGTGCCCCACAAAACATCTTCTGTTGTATTTTTATGTTTCTCAAGCAATTTTGCGATAGTCAATTTGATCAGCGTTATTCTATTTCCAAGGTCATCCAAACTAAAAATATCTATACATAGTCCTCTTCAGTACCTGTTTCTTTTTTTCATGAAAAATGCAACACACTTGTTTTTAATATCCTTGGCAGGGTATTTGGGATCTTTGGGGTTCAAAGGGCATGTAATCTTTTGTACTTTTTTATAGGGGTTTGGGACCCCCCCTGACCCACTTGTTCCTGGCTGATCAGTCAAAATTAATTTAAAAAAAACTTTCACTTTTTTAATTTCTAACGTTTTTCTTTACTTTTTTCTTGCTTTCCCCTTTTTGTTTTTTCTATGTTTTCTTTTCAGACAAAAAACCCCATTTAAAACCCAACCCCAACAAACATTTATCCCCCAAATTTTCTCCTGATTAAAAATTCGTACCTAATTAGGGGCTCGAATTATTGTTTTGACCCCCTCTTCGGATGCCGGGACGCTTCTACCCAAATTTTGGGCACGGCAATTTGAGAAAAGTAAAATATTGCAAGCACAGCGTCAGATATTTGTAAGTGGATGTTTATTGACCTGTAAGATGATACTATATTATTATCTTTCTACATGCATGTATCAAAATGAGTATAGAAGATAACAGGGTGATCACAATCTAAAATATGAAGCCGTATATACTAGCTGTTACAACATTTTAATGAGGAAAAAAACAATGAATGATGTTATACCCTTTTGACCACTGGAAAATGGGACTGGTACCAATTATGAAATTAAGTACGATTACAAAGTACAAATTACCTTAACATAAGGCTACACTAGCTTTATAAAACAGTATTATTTTGCGGCAACCCTTTTTTATTTGGTCGGGGGAATGGGGTTGGGGATGGAAGAAATGGGGGGGGGGTAAATTTTTAGGCGCAAAGGTTTGTATTAATTATAAGTTATTGCAAATGAGTTAATGCATTTTTAAAGGAGTTAATCACATTACTGACTCTTGATCTTTACTTCGTAGGAAGACAGTAAAGATAAAGAAGAATTCTTTGGTAAAATGTTCGGGACCGCTAAAGACGTCACAACGAAAGATTATCAACAAATATTTGCCGAGACTGGAATAGATTTAGATGATAGGATGGCCCATTTTAATGCTAAAGGCAAATCAATGGAAGAGGAAATAGCTCAATATGTCAACTTTACTAAAATTATTCCTGGATTTAAAAGTCTGAATCCAAAAGATGTGTCCAACTTGTTAAAAGGTATCATCTCTTTAATATTGTTTTATTTCTAATCTTGTTACATTTTTCTGGTCCTTCAGGATCATTGATGCCGACACTATTAAGTGTTGAGAATTGAGTACTGCTCAAGCCGGTGCTAGGGGGCGTGAGGGATGTTGCACGTATTTATTATCCCTCATGTACAGACTCAATCAAACGGAGTCTGCAATTCTCTTGTAATTTTGTTGTGATTAATGCTAGACCAAGGAGGGATCACTTTGTTTCCAGATTTTTTTTCCAATACATGTACATTTATATCCTTCGCCCTGCTGTTGACTTGCACAGTTTATTTTGTATATAGCAAATGTAATATCTACGAACTTTAAATTCTTTTGCTAGGACATGGTGGCACACATTTTCAGTAACAATCTGGGTGCAATTTTATCAACAAAGTTGGTCGTTAGCTACGACACCGTTGATAAAAACGACATCCTGGTTTACAGCACTTATTCTTTTGTTAACTTCATGCACGTGTATTTCTGGTTTGATTTGATTTGGTTTGGTTTGATTTTATTCCTTATAATAATTTCTATATGGAAAAATATCAGTAATAGAATCTGAAAGCATTTGTACATTATTTCAAGGAAACTCTCACATTCTGACACTTTTTATCATTCCATTGAACCGTTCAATCGTTCACAAGTATCAAGCCATTCTGTAAATTTACAGTTCCAGTTATAATATATCAGTCCCTGTTACCGCTCTCTATTATATTGGAGCTACAAAATTCAAAGCACTGAAAGCACCTGGTAACAAGGAAACCCTGTTTAATACTTCAGGACAGTAAAATTTTGGTTTTGAATTTGGAATAGCATGTTGTGACAAATTCACACATTTCACATTTTCAGTTTACATGTTCACATATGCTTTTTAGCTCACCTGAAGCTACACAGGGGTGAGCTTTTAGAGATCGTTGAATCTGTCCGTCGTCTTGTCGTCCGTCGTCTCTTCTTCCGTTCCCCACACTTGTTCGTTAACACTCTAGGTGGTCACATTTTTGACTCAATTATTCATAAGATTGTCAGGATGCTTGTCTAGGTAATTCTCCGGATGAGTTCCGAACATTGGGTCATCTTGGATGAAAAACTAGGTTTCACAGGATCTAAAAATAGAAGAATCCTTGTTAGCACTCCTAGTGGTGTCACCATTTTTTACTTCAATCGTTAAACTTTGTCAGGATGCTTGTCTAGGTGATTGCTCGGAATTGCAGTTTTGTAACATTGGATTTATCCGAATGAGAAAAACTAGAGGTCACAGGAGCTAAAAAAAATAAAAACCTTGTTAACTACTTCTTGTGGTCACATTTTTTTTTACTCAGTTATCATTCAAACTAGTCAGGAATGCTTGTCTAGGTAAAATTGCTGTGATTGGTAGTTTGAACCAATGGGTCATCTGGGAATGAGAAACTAGGTCACAGAAAGCGCTAAAAATAGAAAAACCTTGTTAACACTCTAGCGGTCAACATTTTTTGTTCAATTATCATCAAAACTTGGTTCAGGATGCTTGTCTAGGTAATTGCTTCAGATGAAATTTTGTGAAACATTGGATCATCTCGGGATGAAAACTAGGTCACCGGAGCTAAAAAATAGAAAAATCTTGTAAACACTCTTGTGGCTACTTTTGTGATCCAAACTATCCTGGAAATTGGATCTGGAAAAAGTTTTTTGATGATTTCTAGGTCATGTTTTAAATACGGGTCACCTGGGTCAAAACTAGGTCACACCGCCCAAATATGGAAAAAAACCTTATTAACACTCTAGTGGTCACATTTTTGGCTCAATTATCATCAAACTTGGTCAGGATGCTTGTCTAGGTAATTGCTCGGTGAGTTGAACATTGGTCATCTCGGATGAAAATTAGGTCACAGGAGCTAAAATTAGAAAAATCTTTTAACACTCTAGTGGGCTATGTTTTGATCCAAATTATCCTGTAAATTGGTCTGAAGGTTTGTTTTGATGATTTCTAGGTCAAATTTTTCGAACATGGGTCATCTTGGATGAAACAAAGGTCACACCGCCCAATATGGAAAAACCTTGTTAACACTCTTGTGGTCAATTTTTGACTCAATGTATCATCAAAACTTTGGTCAGGATGCTTGTCTAGGTAATTGCTCGGTTTGAGTTCGAACATGGGTTGTCTCGGATGAAAAACTAGGGTCACAGGAGCTAAAAAATAGAAAAATCTTGTTAACACTCTAGTGGCTACTGTTTTGATCAAAGCATCCTGTTAATTAGTCTGAAAGTTTGCTTTGATGATTTCTAGGTCAAGTTTGAAAATGGGTCAACTGGGGTCAAAAACTAGGTCACACTTCTCAAATATGGAAAATCCTTGTTAACACTCTTGTGGTCACATTTTTGACACACCTGTCATGAAACTTGGTCAGAATACTTGTCTAGGTAATTGTTCGGATGAGTTCGTTGGGTCAGGTGAGCGATTTAGGGCCATCTTGGCCCTCTTGTATAAAACAATAGTTGCCATGCCTTTTCATCCACCACACATTTGAGTGAATAAATTATTGTAAAGACAGACGCGTGTAGTTTTTTCCAATTTTCATATTTTAGACACCGTCTCTTTTCAGCGTCTCATTGCGAGTTCTGGTTGCTTGGTAACTACATGCTATTTAACAACGAACTGGGAACAGCAATAAGTTGGAACGGGACATTTAACACAACGATGAAAACGATAGAAAAGTTTTGGTCTCCTGAATGGGTGAAATTAGTTTTCAAGTTAGCGGACATGATACAGAAGTTAGAGTTATCTTTAGAGGAGATTGTGTTAATCAGAGTTATCATTCTTACATATACAGGTATTATTATACGAGCATATAAGATAGAAGTGCGGTCGTTTCCACTCTTAATATATCTCTTTTACCGCTTTCTATAACATTGGAAAAAAAATCAAAACACTGAAAGCACCGGTAACAAGAAAAGCCTAACGCACTCTTTAAGTGCTAATTCTTCCGGCAGTCTCCATGTAGACAAGCTGGACTTTTGAGCTTGTGGAGTTCGAATACATTCAACTGAAAATAACCGTAGTTTTCAAATGTTTTTTTCGCTCGTTTATATACTGGCAGTTCAATGATGCGGACTCGAGCTTTGTCCCTATATGGTTAAGGCTAACATCATAAAAATGACCAATACCACATCTCACCTGTTGAATTTCTCTGATTGACTTGCTCACGTTAAATGCTTGGAACTGTCTATTAAATTTTTAGTGATAACAAGACAAAAAAGTCAAATTTATTCTGTCACCACTGGTCAGCCGGCTAGCTGGCAAGGCTCTATACTGGTGACAAAGGCTAATAAACTTCGATTTCAGCAGAGTAATATTAAACTAATATAATAACATTATGTACGACAGAAATAAAAGAAAATGTCATAATAATATCAAGTTTTGTTTCCAAATTTATATGCTAATGCTATAGAAGTTTATTTTTCATTTTCAGATCGTTGCAAATTAAAAGACAGAGAAAAGATTCAAATATTACAAGAGACATTTCTGGATTGTCTAAATTATCAGTTGATGAAATCTCACAAAGACTATAACCGCTATGTTTATAAAATATTTGACATTTTACTAAGACTTCGAGATTTAACTGAGCTTAATTTTAAAGTTAATCAAAAGTTTTTACAGGAATGGGGATTTGCTATACACGAGTTTCCTTTGTGGAAAGAAATTGTGTCTTATGAAAATGATGTTTAGACGTGTTTGTTTTTCTTAATGCTTTGCCTGAGAAATTTAAGTTGTAAACTATTAAAAACTATTATACCTTTGAAATGACATATTGAAATGATGGGTTTTTAAATAAAAATTTTCAATGTATATTCCCAAAAGGAAAATAGTTTTTTAAAAAAAATTGCATTACGGGATAATGAAATTTTTAAAGAAAAAATTTTGTCAAACGGGGTTGAACTTTTTTTTTAGTAGAAAAAAGTCCGTGTTTTATTAATACATAGAAAGGGGCGTCTGTGGCAGAGTGGTTAAGGTCGTTGACTTCAAACCACTTGCCCGAATCCCGACATATATCTTACGAAATATCGGTGGTTCTTCTCAGGTTCCCTTTAGTGTTAAAAATAATGCACGGTGAGGGATCTGAGCTCTTCTTCCACCAGTAAAGTGGTGCTGGTCCTTTTAATCATATGTTTATTGAGTTATTGTTATATTTATGATATATTTATTACGTCCATTTGTGAAGATATATAAGTATTTCAGCGTGAAATAGATAACATCTTTTTGAATAAAAATTTTAAAAAGTGTTGTTCATTATTCAAAAATTGACCCAAAAGTTTCATTTTCGTTTCATATTCACTTCTTTGGTTGATTTTAATCCTGATAAGAAAACGAACTTAAATGATATCACCATATTATTTTCTTTTGAGACATGTACGATTACTACGGTCAGAATAAATGGGGAGGCAACTACATACAGTTCAGTGAAAAACTCAAAAAGACTTTATAGAGGCATAAGCATTACAAAAAATTTCAAACAAAAACAAAAAACATCAAAATATATACAAAAGAGAATTATCAGCGTAATGCTTCAGTCACACTACACCGTATAGCGTTAACGGACGTCCAACGCATAACAAAATTTTAAATCCGTCCATGTCCGTTCGCATGCGTTTCTTTTCCGTTTATCATGCGGCGTTTGCGCTTCTTGTCCAGCGGTGTTCGTTCCGTTCGGTGGAAAGTTTTGAACATGTTCAAAATTTGGAACGTACACCACCGGATAAAGTTGTCCGTCAGATGTACGGTAACCATGCGCTGGTATGCGTTTTGTTCGTTACTCGTACGTTCCTGATTCTGTACTTGTTCGGTTCGAGTCCGTTCTTGTCCGGTGGACCTGATTCACAGCCGGACTACTACGGACATGCAGCGGATGTAACATATGTTAAACGGACGATAACGAACAAGGGACGTATAAGAACTGATAAAAAGCAGACATGAATCGATGGTCTGTCGCACAAAACTGATGATGAATAAAACGAGGTTTCCCTGGTTATAACTGTCATAAATTTTCTTGCATTTCAAGTGTAAAGACCTTCTAAAACTTTGATAGTTTGAGTAAATGATCCACATATCATGGAGTGTCGCGTTAGAGCCCGCCTGCAGTATCAAGCGGCCTTGATCCAGGCACGTATTGACCTGTTGGATGCGAATGTAGATATTGTCGCTTATGAAAATATGAGAAGAAGGAGGCGACTGCGGAGGTGGTGGTCAAAGGCTTGGCTGGGTCCTGAGAGACGTCGAATGTTTTGTCTCTACGATCAACTCATGATGAAGCTGCGGAAAGAAGACCAGCGGTCATTTACGAACTTCATGAGGATGCCTCCTGAGATGTTTGATGAGATTCTGGAACGAGTGGGTCCCAGAATAACAAAACAATATACCACATACAGAACCCCTCTTGACCCTGGAATGAAGTTATCGTTTTACTCAGACATCTTGCGTCAGGGTCAAAGTATTCCAACATGCGGTTTGCCTGGAGGATACCTCACAACACAACACCATCTCTGTCATCGTGCGAGAAGTAAATATTTTTATTTTCCCATGACTCTTAATGATAACTCGAACAATTACATGTATATAATTTCTGGTCTTTTAAAATATCAATAATTTGCTTACATGATTATTTCTACTTTTAAAATCGCACTTTTATTTGCATTTTCAGGTGTGCAGAGCAATTATAGACGAGTATGTGGACGAGATCATGCCTTTGCCAACAACAGCTGCTGACTGGAAACGCATTTCAGATGGCTTTTTGGAAAAATGGAACTTTCCTCACACTTTGGGTGCGTAGGATGTCAAGCATATTGCCTGTAAGTGTCCACCTAGTTCCGGGTCCACATATTTCAACTATAAGAAGTACTACTCCACAGCTGACCCTCGTTGACTACGGCTACAAGTTCATTTGGGCCGACATCGGAGGCCGCGGTGCTGCATCTGATGCTCAGTTGTGGAACGAGTCCGAAGAAATATGAACCGGTCCATCACCCATCGTTCTCGGTCTGTCAATTCCCTCTGCCCGTCCCCAGATCGTTGAGCATGGAGCCTGGTGTTCCAGTCCCTTAAGATCAGTAAACCAGGTCTTCAAGCTTCCAGCTGTAAAACAGAAACATTGGAATAAATATATGATGTAATTTATGCCAAATTACTACAGAAATATAAGACACTAAAACGTTACAATGATAATGAAAATTATAAATTCAGATTAATGTATTTGAATTTACCGTCATATTGGAGCTCTTCAGCTTTTTCCTCCCAGAGGTGGTCTTTCAAAGTCTTGTTTTTGTAGTCCTTGTTTTTTTTTAAATTCCATAGACAGGCATGTTACGCAATCCATTCCAGGACTTGACCTTCCTCCTGCTCATCACGGAGGCGGCAAGATTTCTTTGGTTTCTTTGACCGATTTAACTTCTGAGTAGACGGCATAGATGAATCACTTGATAGATCTGAGTCTTTTGGATTTTTTACAGACGGAGTTTCTTCCTCAGTAACTTCAATGGTTTCTTGTTCCTGAACAGCATCATTATCAGGGGGAGGAGAGGGTGACCTGAGAGTATTCCTCTGTCCCCTGGCCTTACCCTTCCCAGCATTGGTAGCCTTGGCTTTTGGCATTTTCGAGCACGCGTGTGATCTTTGTGAGCGTGGAAACTATTATGACGAATGAAACAAAATATCGGACTATTTATACCAGTTTTGTCCGTCACGTGACCCGTAGAAATACGCTCGTCGAACGTTCAAAGAACGTTTTGTCAGTTCTTCATGCGCTGCGTGTACGTTTTGTGTGGTACAAATCCGTTACGAGAACGGCGAAGGCCGTTAACTGTACGTCGTTCATCCGGTATATGTGCGTTGATCGTTCGGTCATTGTGCGTTTTGTACGTTTTATGCGCCCTGTACAGCGATCATGAGAGCACCGAGCAGCAGCGGGAAATGCTTTTCATCACCGGATAACTTTCAGCCGCATTTTTCTTTGCGTTTGGCGTCCGTTAACGCTATGTGGTGTAGTGTGACTGGAGCTTAAGAAGTTACTCATACAATTTATAGGAAAAAATATGAACATACTCGAAGACTAACAAGCTTAGTTTTTCACTTGTCTATCATAAACGCTCCGAGATTAAGAAAAAAAGTCTGTAAACACGTTCGGATAACACACTAATATTCGTAACTATTATAATATCCCAACCAATCGGAACGTCCTCGGCTATTGTCTATAATAACCTCATTGAAAGTAGTTCTACCACGTGGTTTCAGACGTAAACAGAAACAGAGATAATGTAAAACGAATGTATATATTTGACATCCAAAAGTAAAGTAATGTCTGTTTCGGTACACTTATGATTGCAAATATGTCTGAAAACAATTTTTAAATTAAATATGCCCACTGATGTACAATTTTAAACATATCCGACTAAATGACAACACGTTAGTTTTTTTTTTTAACTTTCGGTTTCTACAACCATAATAATAAATATAGAAATAAAGTATTGTTTGCTTTTGTATCTATGAATTCACTTATTTTAGGTAGACTTTTAACACATATATTGGAAATTAACTTGTCAACAACTCCAAGCCGTAGGTTAGACCGAAATACCGCATCCGTTCTGTGTATTCGAAGACTGACGGAAAGGGCCGAAAAGTTGCGATTGTGTCCCAACAATTGTACCGGTCATCTATGTTGTTGAATGCTCACGTTTTTTGGGGGGGTTTTGTCTGTTTTTTTTTTTTTTTCAAATAATGCACAACATGCGCACAACTGTTGTGTGCAAAATATAATTGCTGGGAATATAGAATACTTAAAGCCTGATATTGATAAACGCAAACGTGCCATTAAAACAATTATAGCAAGCAGTCCATTTTAAGTAAAGAAAATACATCGACCAGGTAGTCACCGATCCACGCATATATTAAACACCGCACTTTTAACACAGAGAGGTTTATCAATATACGTACATTTGAGCCGTGTCACGACAAAACCAACATAATGGGCTTGCGACCAGCATGGATCCAGACCAGCCTGCGCATCCGCGCAGTCTGATCAGGATCCATGCTGTTCGCTTACAAACTCTATAACAAGTAGAGAAACTGACAGCGAACAGCATGGATCCTGATCAGACTGCGCAGATGCGCAGGCTGGTCTGGATCCATACTGGTCGCAAACCCATTATGTTAGCTTTGTCGTGACGCGGCTCATTTGTAAAGTGTGTAATAAAATCGTTACCGTGACCTAAATTGAAACTCGCGAGTCATAAAGGCTAGCATTTAGAACATTGTATGCGTTTAAATTCAATGTATGCGTTTAAATTTAATGTATGTATAGAATATAAATATTGACTAGCTGCGATTTCATGTGATGCATGAATAACCTTATATGTGGGTTATTTATAACGTTAGAAATCATTCACCGTACGTGCCATATTTTAAACGGGTAGGATCAATTTAAACTTTATCAAAATGACAGAAGCTTTGGATTTAACCAAGGATTATACCAAGGAAAACAAAGACGTTGACATGTCTAAGACCCGGAAGGTACAGAAGAAAAAAGCACCAAGGACAGGTTCAGCACCGTACGCCACCGTTCCACTTCCGCCTTGCAAGATATGCGGAGGAAACTCGACCGGATATCATTTCGGAGCGATCACGTGCGAAGCTTGCAAGGTATATTGTTATACTTTATCTAAAGTAACTTTTTCAAACGAGATATGACTATGAAAACTAGTTTTTTTTTGTTATTCAGGCGTGAATTTTTAGTATATATATACTAGTGCGTTAGAATTCTAAATTATGACTTTTTCAAACTCCATGCTCTTCCTCACGTCGGCAAACGAAACCTGTTTTATAGGAAATGAACCTTGACTTTGATCCATATGTATGTGTAAAGTTTGGTAGCAATTAAAACAGTTACTTAACTTTGGTTTATTTCTTCAAAGTTTTATCTCAAAGCATATTTAAATTCCAATCTCTATGCATACTATAATTTGTTGTTGTTGTTGTTTTTCTTTTCATGTACATTATGAATCGTGTAATATAAAATCTGATTATTGAGATCAAATTTAACTCAATTTTACTACCGGTTTAAAAGTTCAGTTTATCTCCCATTGACTGCAAGTACGCATGCACTTACATTGTTGTAGGCATTCTTTCGAAGGGCATTGATACACAAACAGGAGTATAAGTGCAGTAAAAATGACAACTGTGAAATTATATTGAAAAGAGCGGGAAACTGTTCAGCTTGCAGACTCAAGAAATGTTACGATCTCGGAATGTCGAAAGGAGGTAAGTGCAGATATGGCGTCAGTGGCGTTCCATATATTTTATGTTGTTCCATAGGTCATGACGTCAGTTTTTTTTACTGAGTATGAGTATTAAACATGGTATATCAGATGCTATCACACATGGTTAATGCATTTTTGTCACCGTTAGATAGTAATATAGCTAAAAAAATAGGTTTGCCAACACAGATGCTAAGTGGGGTTAATAAAAAACGTTTATCACGAAATAAGTTTTATTATACAATAAGAGAAACTAGTTAGCCCTCCAAAAAAACTGTTAAACATAAAGTCAAATTAAGCATTATATTTTTCATTAAACATAAAGATTTACAAACGGCTCATCACAAAATCTTTAAATATTTGAATACCACGACAAATTTGAAAAGAAACTCATTTTGAGGAAGATAATGGTATTCACATTAATTTTACAATAATTACTCGAAGAGACATATAAATAAGCTTGAATGAAGTTATCGATATGCCATTGTCAAATCGATCAATGCTTTTGAAAAATCTGTCAAATTTGAAAGTTATTTAATTTAAATGATGTAGAAGACCATCTCCACCCAACTGTTTGTAATGAACTTGTTCAGCTTGCAAATAAGAACTGTTTCTATGTATAAACCACAATTCATTGGTGGCATAGACCTATCCATATTACATTTAGGTACTTACCAAATAAACAACGTTTTTATTAATCAGGTGTGCGCAAAGGCAGGTATTCTATAGCAATAAGAACGAGGGCAATTGTTGAGGCTAAAGCCTCGGAGGGAAAAAGTCCAGCAGTGACAACAACTAATCAAGATGTACGTGAAATGTCTAAAGGAAATTCGTCTACGTCATCATTAGGATATGTGTCATCACCGTCAAAAACGAATCTTCTAAAGAACAAAGGTATGTTAATTAAGAAATAATATATCCCAAACTGTGATTTTATAGCTCAATAACATCACTGTTTGGAGTTCGGATGCGAGGAATTATATCACGAGGGCGTAGCCCGAGTGATATAATGTTGCGCATCCGAACGACAAACAGTGATGTTATCCAGCGATAAAATCACCGATTTGGATATATTATTTCGATTCTAACACGACATAAACAAATAAATGGTGCCGTACCTGCTATTAAGCAAAATTGCGCCTGATTTGTTTCCGTACTTATTGTCAGCGCGTCGGATTTCATAGCGGTTACGTCACATGTACAATGATTACGTCACACGTCTAAATATAGAACGTCAAACAGTGACTCTATTGCATAATAATACACACTTTCAGTTCTTCTATGTTCATTAGGGAAAAATGCGGGTCGTGTTAGAATAATGTATTTATCATACATTAAGTCTTGCCTTTGTAACATCAGAACAAAGTGAGATTTATTAACGATTTGACGTTATATACTTTGTTATTATAGCGCACCTCAAGTATTGGTAACGATGTCTGTCGGCGGGCGCCAACGGCGGTCTTTTCTAAAAGTCAAGTTTACTTAGAATTTGCTGTGTGACATCATTATTTTAATTGAATCATGTTTGGTGTACATTCCTTTGTTGAGTTATTTTGAGTAATGGTATTTGTTAAGTTTTGCACTAAAAAATTGATCGGAGTCATTGAGGGAGCGGTTGCTGAGTCGGACACTTAATCGAGCTATGCTGGAGTCAGTATCATGTTTCCTCATTTGCAACCTGTGCTGGTTAGATCTAGGTAGCATACTAGAAAGTTAAAAACTGTCTAATGAATAATGTTTCACAAAAGAGAGCACCAGAACAAAAAACAAAAACAACAAACAAAAAAAAAACAACAACAAAAAAAAACAACTTTAAATGCACCTCTACATCTACTTGTAGGCACCATCTTTATAACTCTTTTTTTCTGAGCCAACGAATGGATCATCAACAAGCTTCTCGATCAGAATTTTACAGAAAAAATAATGTTGAGAGATGAAGTCTCATTATGGCCGTCTTGTTTTTTTGAACACAGACATACTAATACAAACTGACATAATTTAAAAGTTTGCTCACGTCTTGGCCTAGATTTCTTTAAACTTGTCTTCATATTTTGTCTCATCACGTATACTGTCATTTCATTTCAGACAACGTCACCTCCGAAACATCTACCAATTTTACATCTTCCCCATCACCTGATCTAGATTTCAAAAGCAACGTAGAGCTCGAACTGTTGATTGACGCCCTCGTGGGATGTCAGGACGCTGTCTACCCCCACCTTGCACAGCAGTTTGAGAAAAGTAAAATCTTGTTAGCACAGCGTCAGATATTTGTAAGTATCTGTATATTTGTAATATCTGGATATATTGACATGGCATTGTTGTTATTGTGTCCATATTTGGTTTATACAAATTTATTTTAGTTCGATTGTGTTGGAAGCTATAAGCTTATTGAAACACTCTCGAATCCGTTCCTGGAACCAACCAGTACTAAGCAATGAATGTAAAGTTTCTTGCTCAAGGAAACAACGACTTGCCCCTGACAGGGTACACAGTCGGTCCGGATAACTGTTAGCATCTGGTGATATGAAAATGTTTAAAAAACAATAGCAATAAAAACATAGATTCGACCTGATACCCTTTTCGTTTTGAAATATTTTCTCACGCTTGTTCTGATCAGGGGAAGTAACCTCTGCGAGAGTTTCATATTTCGCAACATTTCGGCCCTTTCATAACTTCTATAACTAATATTTATATTTGAATGTGTGAAATGTATCATTTTTGTGACTTCCATGGTTTCTGCTTACAAAATACCCTCTTGATTTAATAGTTATTATTCGAACGTCACAACTTTTATTTTCAATTAGTTTTGTTTTCTTTACCTCAAACAGTTATCAATATGATCCGAATGACTTTAGGTAAACTACAGTCAGTAAAAAATGCACCGTCATACATTATTTGTATCATAGTTTGGGGACCTTTCTGTTGAAAAAGTGTCAGAGTTAAATCGTATACATATACATGCACAGTGCGGTAACTGGAGTGCAGGTATCAGTTACCCGCATTCCAGATCATGCCCGTTGATTGGCTCATTTTTGCTGGGGTTTACTTATTGTGACGGCAGAGAAAGGGAAAGCGGCAGAAATATCATATTCAGATGCTCGTTCATTGGTCACTTTTTCCCGGGGTTTAAAATTGTGACAACAGGGAACGTGTTTTTATGTTTGACTATGATACAAAAGAGAAAGAACACCAAAACACTCGGCAATCTGATTTATACTCGGGGGCTACGCCCCCTCGTACAAACCAGATAGCCTCGTGTTTCGGTGCTTTTTCTAATACTTACCTCTTAAATAAATAGCTATTAATTTACAACAGTCAGTCAAACGTGTACACACGCTTAAATTGTTATTTTATAACTGACAGATACGACCTCTTTTATTTCAAACTTGAGAGTATCAATACGCTCTTTGAACCCATACATATATTTATATAATAGTGGTTATCGGTGTCTAACTGGTATGACTACCTGACTTGAAATACAGGCGTTGAATAATCGCCGACTAAAAGACCAACTAAACGACCTACAATCTTAGATGTTTTTATGATGGTGTTTAACACCCTACACACCGAAAGAACCGGTTTCTTCCAGAACTGGGACATGTATGACTTGCACTGGCTTGCACTTGCAGTAACAACGTAGATTGAAGAGGAGACTTCAGTAGATATTGCATAAGCCATGCAAAGCACGCTGGCATCTTTTAGTCAAAGAATGTGTTGTTTATAAAATGTAGCATCATAATCAAACAATCTTTTTGATTTTTTATAGATCCACCATTTCGTTGTTGCAATGTCCTCCTGCTACTTTCCCGAAACTATTTCACGCTTGTGTGATATAGAATTGCAATAAAACAAGTCTATTTAAACAAAGCAATTGGTTTGATATTAACTCTACGTAAAATGATCTAATTTGTTTCTTTATTTTTCGTCTATTTGCTCCATAGGAAGCCAATAAAGATAAAGAAGAAGTTTTTGGCAAACTGTTCGGGATCGCTAATGACGTCACAACGGAAGATTACAAACAAATATTTGCCGAAACTGGAATAGATTTGGATGACAGGATGGCCCATTTTAATGCTAAAGGCAAATCAATGGAAGAAGAAATAGCAAAATATGTCAACTTTACTAAAATCATTCCTGGATTTAAAAACTTGCATCCGAAAGATGTGTCAAATTTGTTAAAAGGTACAACCTTTTTTCATGTAATTTTAGTTAGTTAAAACAATGTTTTTGTTTCAAATTGTACGAAATAAATATATGCAGTAAGCATATACAAACCTGAGCATGGGGAATGTAATATCTCCAGACCTAGAATTTACAAATTTATAGTTGTTCTTGACTGCACACGTCACATTTCTTTTTAGTAACAATTTCATCCTGTATTACGGGATTTTCCCTCTACAATAAAAGGAACAAATTTTCGTCTTTTACGGTGTTTTTTTTGCCTTACACGTTTAACTTATTTCCAAAACGGTATCTTAACATGTATTAATTGATCTTGGCTGATCTAACAATTTTAGACACATATAGACAGCAGTTAAAACTAAAATTGATTCAAAGCTGTGTGATTTAATCATGTCCGGCCCTTACTGAAAATATCTGTGAATCGTTTAACCCTTTACCTGCAGAAAGGAACCGAATGTGACAACTTTTACCACTAGCATACATCCAGGCTAGCCTGTAGACACGTGCAGCCTGGCCAGACTTCATATTGTTTGTACTTCAATTTTGTATTTTGATGTTAAAAGCCCTGAATTTTGAATAGACCGTCCCAATTTCAAGTCATCCTCGGTAACCCAGGCTATTTACCGTATAGTATATACGGATTGTGTACCGTGGGTTCCGATGATGTTTCAAAGTAGGGCAAAAGCCATTAACCGGGAACACGTGTATTTTTCAGCGTCTCATTGTGAGTTCTGGTTGCTTGGTAACTACATGCTTATCAACAAAGATCTAGGCACATCTTTAGGCTGGAACGGATCATTTGGCTCAACGATAAAAATGATAGAAAAGTTTTGGTCGCCTGAATGGGTACAAATGGTTTTCAAGTTAGCGGACATGATACAGAAGTTAGAGTTATCCTTAGAGGAGATTGTGTTAGTCAGAGTTATCCTTCTTACATATACAGGTATTGTTGTATTTATAATTTGTGATTTCTACAATATAAAGAAGAGATAGGACAACATTATCCATCATGTTAAACCCCAACCCTAGCCAGGGTATTTCAATCTATCACCAGCAAATAAAGCTTCATTCCTAGTCCAAATTAACCTCATTTTCCCCATTATTTTTTTTTAATCTTCTTACTCTTAATGCATTAGTTAAACATTATAAAATTGTTTTACCCTTTCTAAAGAAGTAAACATGCATTTGTTTCTGGGGCATACTGTGCCTTTAAGCCTTATTATAATACATGTACAGCTTAATTATATACATATATTTTTAAACGAGGCATGATTAAAAATATGGCTAGGATAAAATAGGATAGAATATAATAGAATAGAATAGAAGTTTCATCCCTAATTACATTTTGTACATACGCTCCTGCTACAGGATTTTTTTCTTTATTTTCAGATCGTTGCAAGTTAAAAGACAGAGAAAAGATTCAAATATTACAAGAGAAATTTCTGGATTGTCTTAATTTTCAGTTGATGAAATCTCACAAAGACTACAATCGCTATCTTTATAAGATATTTGACATTTTACTAAGAATTCGAGATTTAACTGAGCTAAATTTTAAAGTTAATCAAAAGTTTTTACAGGAATGGGGATTTGCTATTCACGAGTTTCCTTTGTGGAAGGAAATGTTGTCTTACGAAAATGATGTTTAGAATACATGTATTAAAGAGATGATTTTTAAAGTTTTTGTTTAAGAAAAAATGTGTTCCTTACATTACTTTTAAGTTACCGACATGTAAGAGATCCTATTATACTTGTAACATTCAAACTGCTTTTGTCATTTATTTTTCAGAATGTTGCTAAGTATGATATTATCGGATTTTTTTTAATGCCTCGAAGTAAATTTTGATATGCTTAGACGTGTATAACGATGCCTTGGAATTTATCGTAGTCGTAATATTACATAAGGTGAACAAAACATTACAAAATGTAATTCATCTTCAATATCGTTACACTGACATAGTTGACATTTGTTATCGTTTCTTTCAATGTTTCCATATTTACCTGTTTCAATACACATGTAATACTAATCTTTAAAAGTTGGTAGCGGTAATGGGACGTTCTCCATGCTACCAACTTTATTTAAAGGCCCATTTTTCTCCAAAAATGCTTTTATTTTTCAAAAGAAATGTGTGTGGCGCCGTTATATGTCGCAACGCCGCTAAATGTCGCACTTACCGCTAAATGTCGCACCAATACCGCTAAATGTCGCAACTGCCGCTAAATGTCGCAAAATCATTTGCCCTTAAATGTCGCAATGTTAACGTTAAATGTCGCACGAATTTCTGCTACAGTTAAATGTCGCAACACTACCGTTAAATGTCGCAAGATATAAATTCATGTTGAAATCATGAATAAAAGTAGTAGTATTTTAATTTAAAACGCTCTCTTGTTATTTTTACTGTAATTGTCATACAAAAAGTATCTTTGTTTTAATTGTTTTCTTTTATGAACCTGAATATCGAGGTTT